CACTCAAGATTTCCGGGCGGCGCGACTTCTCAGGCCCCACTTCTCGGGACCTCGTGAACCTCGCCCGGGAGCGCTCAATAAAGCCACGTTGTTTGCCCCCCTCCCCGCACTCTGTCTTTCTCTCTCCTCGCCGCTAGAAAAACTTTATACTCTGCTCGTCTTTCTTTCTCTGGCACCGACCATCCAAAAACCTTACACTCAAGTGCCAAGAACAGAGGGTGTGAAGGAAGGTGTAGGGTAACAAGGCTGGAAGCATAGCTTAGGGTTGTCCTGAGTGCCGTGCCAGTACTTTGTATTTCATGGAGGTGACAGGATGTGCTACAAAGAATATGACAAGAGTGAATAAGACTTCCAATCCCAACTCTGACATTTGGTAGCTCACAACTTGTGAACTTGGGCACAAGTTTTTTGATTCATAACATGAAAATAATTAATAGTAGTTACTGCCTAAAATTGTTGCGAAGATCAAATACATGTGAAAGAACTTAGCATATTTTCAGCCACAAAGTAAGCTCTCAGTAAAGGGTAGCTATTATTATTGTAAGTACTTTAACACTGTAGACGTTAGGGCGGAAAGGCTGGTGGTAGGTGCTCACGGCGTGGGTAGAGAAAGATTTCTCATGCAGAGATTAAGATACAAAAGTAAAATTTATTTTACCCTTTAGAAGGACAGAGAGAATAAGGGAGGGGAGGGGAAGAGAGCAGAGAGACGGTGTGGCATCCCAAAGAAAGAGAAGGGCGATGCCAGCAGCTAGGCCAAGTGGCTGGCTGCTTTTATGGGGAGGAAGAGAAAAATAGTTAATTGTTGTGAGTTGCCATATCAGCTGCTTCTCTTACTCTTAACTGCAAGCAGATAATGGAATCTGCTGTGTGAAACTGCTGCATGGGTCCCCTTTGCTTTAGGGATAAAGTGACCTTGCCCTCAAGGTATGTCTGGAGATCGTCCCCCATGCTGTTTTCCAGGAACTTCTCAGGAACTACTCCAGGCTGTAGAAACAGATGCTAAAAGGCAGCTTTAGTCAATAGGTCTAGCACTGTAAAAAAATTTACATTTCTTTTTGTCTGCTGGGCTCCTTTGAGATGTTCAGAGCTCCACAGGGCACCTGTTAGCTGGATGGAGAGGGAGCAGAGCTGACTTATTTAGCTCCTACCGTCCTTTCAGTGGACATATCGTTGTAGCAAATATTAAGAATTAATTGGAAATACAAGAAAGGCAAAGAAAAAAAAAGGAGAAGAAAAGCTTTGGAAGTTATTGCAATGATCAAGGGAACGTTGTTAAAGGGAAAGTTGGATAGGAGATAGAGTTAACAATTTGGTGGCTTATAGCGTGTAAAGTACAAAGAAGAGTATAAAATGAATCCAAGTTTCTAGCTTGTCTGATTGAGAAAACTGTAGACTGTAATGCTATTATTTGAACAAAGAACTTTGGAGAAGAAACAATTTAGGGTTATTGGTGAGGAAAGGGGTTGTTCAGATCAGTTCTGGACGTGATGAGCATGTTAGTTTCCTAGGGCTGCTGTAACAAATACCACAAACTACGTGGATTAAAACCACAGAAATGTATTGTCTTGTAGTTCTTGAGTGTAGAAGTCTAGAATCAAAATGTCAGCAGGGCCCTGCTTCCTCTGAAACCTGCAGGGGAGAATTTTTCCTCACCTCTTCTATCTTCTGGTGTTTGCTGGCAATCCTGAGTAGTCCTTGGCTCATAGTTTCATCACTCCAATCTTTGCCTCCATCATCACGTAGCCATCTTCTCCATATGCGTGTCTCTTCTCTTATAAAGACACCCGTCAGTTTAGATTAAGGGCCACCCTACTCCGGTATGACCTCATCTTAAAGTACATCTGTGTCAATCCTATTTCCAAGTAAGGTGACATTCATAGGCACTGGGGGTTAGGACTTCGACATCTTTTTTTTTTTTTTTTTTGAGACAAGGTCTCACCCTGTCACCCAGGCTGGAGTACAATGGCATCATCATAGCTTGCTGCAACCTCCAACTCCTGGGCTCAAGTGAGCCTCCTGCCTCAGCCACCTAAGTAGCTGGGACTACAGGTACATACCACCACACATGGCTGATTTTTTTATTTCTTGTAGAGATGAGTCTTGCTATGTTGCTCAGGCTTCAATATATATTTTTGAGGAACTCAATTCAACCCATAACATTATGTTTCAGATACCTATGGCCCATCAAGGTAGAGATGTCCACAGTGGGCAGTTGAGATGTGTAGGTGTGGAGCTCAGGAGAGTGGTCAGAGCTCTGGGTGCAAGGTTAAGAATCATCACCTTAAGGTGATAGCTGAAACATGGGAGTGACTATATGAAATTGGACAGAGAAAGAATATAGAGTGAAAAGAAGGAAACGGATACAACCTTGTGTGATTCCTCTCATAAGTGCATCAGCCTCTGTCCTACAACAGGCCAAGAATTACTGCTGAGGATAGATTTGGTAGTGGGTAGTTGCTGAGCACAGACTGAGCCAGCATCGGCACAGGATGAAGGCTGACAGCAGGATGAGCTCCAAGTGGTCCATCTGAAGCATGGGGGTGGATGGGGGATCAAAATTGGTGGGTAAAAACAAAGTCACATGGAATCAAAAACCACGTAAACATCAAAACGCCCATTTCTACTTCCTGGAAAGAATAGGACCAGATAGTTATCTGGAGCAGAGGTTCTCAAAGTGTGGCCCCTGGACCAGCAGTGGCACCATCACCTGGGAGCATGTCAGAAATCCCATAGGAAACTCTGCGCCAGGGTCCTAAGCCATCTGTGTTATAACAAGCCCACCACGTGATTCTGATGTGCAGGCGAGTGTGAGAACCGCTGCTGTAGAGAGTGTTCAGTACCAGCCCGCAAACCGAGAGATCCAAAGTAGGAGCAACACTGCTGGGTGGGCCGTTTCACAACAAGATGCTCTGCTGCCCTGTGCTCAAGTCCAGGGCTTTGAAGATTATTTCCTCACTAAGTCCAGAAGAGAGGAGCAGGGTATTAAGTTAACACAATGATCAATAACAGCTGAAGATTAGTGTAATAGCATCTGACTGTACCTTTGTAGTTAAGCTTATTTTAATATAATGCTAATCATAGTTAATATAGATTAGTCTTTATTATGTTTATTACTATAAACGAGGTCAGTATTTTATTGGGGACTTAGTATAATATGACAGGACATGAGGCCATTCCTCATGTAACATAAGTTAATATTTTTGAAACTCTTAGGACTGTGCCTAATGTAGAGCAAATAATATAAGTTTGTTATAATATTATAATAAATAGTTGAATTCTTTGCTAGTGACACTATAAGACAAAAACAAAGATCTATTTAGGTCAAATAAAAACCCAAAATTGTGTTTTAAGTTATCAAGAAGACTATTCAAATTACGGATTTAAAGCCACTGCCATTGACTGTGAACCTAGCTCTCTGTGTATATCGTGTTTTAGATCTTGGGCAATGAGAGTATGAAGTCACAACAATTAAATTTACACTTGAAAGCATTACTCATCTATATCTCATTTTTTAAAGGTTCCATTTTTGTGTATGTTTTATAATGAAAACAGTATATTATTAGCATATTTGTTCTTGTGTGTAATTTATACATAAATAAACATCTACAGTATTGGGGTATGTACTTAAATGCGTTGTGGGTTTGTATGTGTGTTCGTGTGTTGTTTGGTTTTGTTTATACTGACAGCATGTACAATCAAAAAACATTTAAGACAACTCCTCTAGAGCAGGGGTTGGCAAACTGTGGCCCACCAGCTAAAGCTAGCTCACTGCTTGTTTTTCTAAATAAAATTAATTTCAACACACCTACGCTCATTCTTTTATGTATTGCTGATAGCCACTTTTGTGCAGATTGAAAGAATTGAGCATTTGCAAGAGAAATTGTTGTGTCCTACAAAGCTGAAAATATTTACTATGTTTTCCCTTGACAGAAAGAATTTGCTAACCCCTGATCTAGACCATTTGTTGCCCATGGGAGCTTAGCTGAATTGCAGACATCATATCCAGAATGAGCCAGATAACCTCAGAAAATCAAGCTTTGCATGGATAAACCTGCACGTTTATGGCGGACATCACATGTGCCTCAGGTTACATCTGTGACACTCTGGCAGAGAACACAAACATTGCTTGTCCCCAACTACCAGCTTCTCCGTGGGGAGGAGAGCTGTTCCAGCAACTAGTAACTTGCAGAGTTGGGCACAGCCCTGGGATTTTCCCTGAGGTCTGGGAGTTGCTCCCAAAGGACCCTCTCACATTGGCCTGCAGGCTGTCAGCCATAGTAGGGTGATTTTCCACTGGATCACATGGAAGGAAGAGTTCAAGCAGATATGGTTTGTTGGCAGAAGGAAGGTTTTTTCCTATCATCGTTGTTCATGATACGTTTTACCTGAGGCATCAGACCAAAAAAAAAAAAAAAATGGCTACTCCATTTGGTCATTTAATAATAGGAGAGTTCAGATCACAGATAAAGTGTGTACCATCATTCACATATCATCAAACATAAGCTGGAAAGATAAGAAGTAAGATTTTTGGCCATATCTGTGTGTGCTTCCTGGAATCTACTGTTTTAGACTCCTTTTTATTTTATTGATAGCCTTGACCTAAGAAATCAATCAAACATAAAGCAAATATGAGTTAGTTGATAAAAAGTATTGAAAATTCAGTCATCGACAGATTGCTTGGCTTTGTGACCTTTAGGTGACTGGGAAAATGAATCCGCTGAAGGATTTAATTCATTGACGCCATATCCACAGTCTATAACTCCTCAGAAGTAGGTCTTTCAGCACTTAGATAAATAAAACCAACCACAGGAAATTCACTTGAGAAAGTAACCGTTATTGGAATTGTTCTTAATCATATCCCTCTGATGTTAGCAACACGATGGTTTGATTTTTATTGTCCAAACCCATCATTTATTAGATAGTGGATCTACAACAAAAGAAATATTTTTTAACGTATGTATTCTTGTTCTTTTAAAAAATTTATCTGTATAAATTGAAATGTCGAGAGCCAAGACTTCACTTAGTCTCAATATGCCACAAATAAGATCACCCATGACTTCACAGCCACATGAAACAGCTAGAAAGCATGAAAAATGAAGGCTCTGGGACTTCCTGGGTACCGGCAGTGGCAAGGATAGTGTTTGTGAGTCTTATGAAACAACAGCCCTTTCTGCACTAGTACGAGGGATTAGCTGTCTAAACTCGGGAGAATACACCAGAGCTAGTGTAAGACAAAGCTCAGGTATCACACAGGAGCAGTACCTAGAAGGAGACCCATTTCTTAGGCTCTAAGTGTCAGCTCGGGGAACAGGCTTTGCTCGTTAGAGAAGCTGTTTGCTGTTTGTTCCTAATGACGGTTAATGTATGAACAAACCGTCCTCCCAGAGCTATAACCGATACCATCAATGACGCTGGTACACAAACAAAGACGCTAATGAAGCGGAGCTGTGTGGCTCATGCTTTGAGAGAGCCGGCTGTGGAGGCAGGAGGGGAAGAGTTTGGCTAAATGAAGTCATTTCTCAGAGCAGTAGATAAAAGGGTAATGCTAGAACAAAGCAACTGCTGAAAACAATTACACATTTAAATCCCCTCTCACCTCCTGTGGCAGGGAAATTTTATTTTATCACTTTCTCCTCTGACATGTTAAAAGACACAAGCTTTGGAGTCCTTAGGGGCTCTGATCTTCGGAGAAAAAAATGAGAGGCCGATATCCAAGGGGGCATGTTGGCGCCAGGTGATGGGCAGGTAGGACATTCAGCAAACAGCCCTGTCACTCATCCCTCCTCTGTCCAGGGAGCTGATGGCATGTGTCAGCTGTGCCTGTCTCTGCCTGGTTACCCGCATGTTCCGTGTTGACGCCGCTGCTGCCTCAATGACTTGTTCTGCTCAAAGACCATTAATGTTCCGAAGGCTACAGAAATGGAGCTGTTCTCTGGGAAGTGGGGGGCACAAAAAAGCCTGATGTTTTGCCACCCTTGAGAAAATGGCCGTCCCTAATTACACAAAATGATAGAGAGAGCAGTTGACTAAAATCACTGCAAATGACAGTGATTTCTCTGAATAGCCTAAAAGAATAGGTCACCCTTGCTAATACACTAACAGCATACTTTTCTGTATATGCAATTTTCGTCACATTCCCCGAATGCTTGGGTGCTGACTGACATCTGCTCTGCGCAAGGAAAACAGCTTTTTTTGGTTTTCTTCCTGTAGAAATCTCTAGCAATGCATTTATATAGGGACTCCGGGATTTGTTCTGTAGAGTAAGACGTGCTTCTGTGGGAGGAAGAAGGAAGATAGTTTTGAGCTAGAAAACGGGGGTTTTATGGGCATAACCCCGCCACCCCCCGCCCCCAGCCACGTAACAAAGCCTAAGGCATGCATCTTCCCTCTCTGTTTGCCCTCCATGTACCTGAAGGCCTGGAACTATCAATAAATGTAGGCTCCACTCTACCCCAGGCATTTTCAGATCCCCTCACTTTAATTTACTGGAAGAGCAAGTAAGGATTGCAGGTCATTGATTGATTTTATCGTCTTAACTATAGGTGGCCTGCCCAGCCTGGTTTCTGGATGTGCTACTGTAACCACTCCATGAACCCCTAGATATTTTTTATAATCCCCTCCCTTAACTAATTACTTGACCCTTTAAGTTTTTTCCTGGAAATGATGGGCTGGAATTCCTGGCCTTAAGCCATCCTCCCGCCTTGGCCTCCCAAAGTGCTGGGATTATAGTGTGAGCTACCACACCCAGCCTGAAATGATCCAATTTATTTTCTGCAAGACAAAGGAGTTGAGATTCTGAAGGCCCCAGGGCAGACTTCCTGAGGCCAGGACTCAACCATCCCTTTCCACCTGCCCCAAGGCACGTGGCCCCTCCTTAAAATGCTTGAGATCTCCTTCAGTCTGGGAGACAGATTTGAGGCAGCTTCTCACTTTCTCCTGGCAAGGCGTCTGTTGTATTAAAAATTCCTTTCTTCCTTGGCAATCCTCGTGATCTCAATAATTGGATCTTTGTACAATGAGCAACTGGACCTAGACCAAAATTCCCTTGCAGTTTTGACAACACCACTAGATCAGAACCTGGCAAGTACTGGACAAAATCCAGTCCTGTTTGTCAGAGAAAGTGTCGTGGAGGTGAGGGGTTTGGGAAGCTCAGCTCTTGCTCTCTTTAGGTGAGTGGCTCCCTCTCCGGGGCAGCGGCAGTGGTCAGGCGGTGGGCTGGCTGCCTCAGGTGAGCCTCTTTTGTCCCTGGGTCACAGGGCCGCGGTGAGGGAGCAACCTCCTCTTCCCTAGAGAAGATGCCACAGAAATGGCTCTAGGACAGCAGCTGCTGCTCTTCAGGGGCTGCCTTCTTGTTTTTTTTTTTAAGAGACAGGGTCTTGCTCTGTCGCCGGTCTACAGTGCAGTGGTGTGAACGTAACTCACTGTAACCGCGACCTCCTGGGCTCAAGCTTCTTCCCACCTTAGTCTCCCAAGTAGCTGGGACTATACAGGTGAGTGCAACTGGCTGATTTTTCTATTTTTTATAAAGATGGGGGCATGGACTCTGCGTGTTGACCAGGCTCATCTGGAGCTCCTGGCCTCAAGTAATCCTCCCACCTTGGCCTCCCTAAGTGCTGGGATTACAGGCCAACTACTGGATCTTTAAGGTGGTGTTTATTACAGGCCAATTTTTTTCAGTAAACATGCATTGGGCATCTGTTATGGGGTAGGAATGGTGAGGGATTAAAATAATAAGTATGTTCTATAGATAAGCGATTCTCAGGTGGTATGGAGGGAGGGCATATCCCACACACTCCAAACAGCCTCCTTCCTCTGTTGAGCAAGTGACACCTGTCATGACCTCCAGGGGAGAGATCCACTGAGGGAAGATAGGAAAGAGCATAATGATGCCTACCACTAGGAGCAGCAGTACCCAGATGTCAACTCACTGCTTGGTTTGCAGGTGTTAAGGTTGCCAAGAAAGACATGACTTGTGTAAGTACTGGATGGAACAGGGCTTTACTCACACAGAGAAGAGACAAAACAAGGCCAGCTTTAATAGTAAGCAAGGGTCCCATGGCCAGCAGGTCCCATCCTGCAGACGATGCAGGGAGACGGTCTGCATGCACCCCTCTTGAGCTACAGACAAAGGACCCCACTTCCCTCCCCAGCAGTGGGGTTGGCCAGGTGCCATATGCCACACATGTTAACTTAAGCAGAACAAAGAAGTACACATCAAGCCAGGAACAGGGAAAGATTCTCCCAGCACAGGCCAGGAGGGGACCTTATCTCCATGAAAGGAAACATTCCAACCCTAACGTGCATTTTTATGTAGCCTACAGTGGTTAAGCGAGCTGCCCATGACTGTCTTTCCCAATAGCAAGAGAGTGGCGGGTTGGCGGAGCAGGGTGTGTATGAAGAAATACCTCTTGTTTCTTAATATAAACAACAGAAAGTGAAGTTCAATGTAAGCTTCTTGGCTGGTGAGGATGAGAATAAAACACAGTGACACTCACGAGGAGTGGCGTCTCTGAAGGTGAAAGGGAGACTGTAAGGTGGAGGAACCCAACGCATAAACAGACCTATGCAAGGCAGCCTAAGTGTGAGAACTTGCTTCAGGAAGAATGTTCAAGTAAGCATCAGGAATTGCCTTTTGAAGTGTTTTTTAATAGTAAATTTTCTAAGTGTAATTCTCACAAGGAAAAAAGAAGAAAAAAAATTCTGTGCACTATAATATAAATATAAGTAATTCTGATGAGCTTATAAGAATAATCATGAATCCTCTTGTCAGCTGAAAAATGATGAGGTTCATAAATTTGGAAAGGAGAGCTTTATTTCTCATAAAGGGTTGCAGCCTACAGGTTGGCCGTTCAGGCTGGGAAGCATAGCCTTGGGCAGAAATCAAGAGTAAGAGCTTCCATTCGAGAGAGGGGTGAGGGGGGCAGGAATTTATGCTGAGCTAAGAGGCTGAATATACATAGTTAATAAGCTATAGGAGGAGTCATGAATATTTATGAAAAGAGAAACATGTGCATGTGCCATTGAGCTTTATGCTGATTCATGGGTCCCGTGTTCAAAAAATGGTGGTGTTAGCATGATCCCAGGGTGGAGTTTTCAGCCCTCTGATATCAAGAGGTGAAGCAGAGGACATGACAATCCTCTGTGCACAGCCTTTGTAGACTGATCAGAACAACCCCACGGTGGGTGGTATCTTATCAAGAAGGAGTGCCGGTTAGTCTTGTCCAAACCGAGACCACAAAAAGGGAGGAGTAGCTTTAGGTAGTCGGTTGAAATCGTCATGGGGCAAGTCTTTCTAAAGAGGTGGTTATGTTTTAACCCTTAGGAAGAAAGTGTAATGGTGACTAGTGAGCTAAGGGGATGTCTGATCTCCCATCCCACCATGTCTGGGAACTCAATTTTAAGGTTTCTATGGAGTCCCCTTGGCCAAGTGGGAGTCCATTCATTCTGTTAGGGGGCTTAGGATTTTATTTTTATTTCTCATTCTCTAGTTTTAAAACATATCTGCAATCTTTGTTAGCGTGAAATTTATTACTATTATGAAATTTCTGAGGAAGTACCTGAAAGAAAATTTAAAAAATGAGAGAGAAAAAGTTGTCAATTGTATTTGTGTCCACAATTCTAGTCCCTGAAATTTTCAGTACCTCCTTAATTCTAGCATTTTCTCCTTTGATTTTGTGAGCTAGCTCAGTATGCTTCCAACAAATTCCATTTTGGGCTTAAAATAGTTTGCATCAGGTTTCTTTCTTTTAAGCAAAAGATACCTTAGTTACAGCATATCTTTACAGATAAGCCTTTTAATCATGGATTGGGAGTTAGTACATCCACATTCTAGTTCTTTTCTGCTACTTCCCGGTTGGGGATCTTCACCAATCACCCAACCTCTCTGACACAGCGTTTTGCCTGAGAGAGTCCATTTCTGACAGACCTAAAACTCTTAACACTGAGGAAGCCTAATCTACATATTCAGTCAAGAAATTCTGACCTTCTGGGATGGGCCATTTGGAGGCCTATTTGCATAAAGACTTAATGTATTTAAACTCTGGGAGAAGTGATCAAGAGGACCTCCAGACAAGTGGTTGGGCCTTAGGGCACCTAAATTAAGACTCAGCTGAAAGAAGATCATTGTGTTCCTCTAGGATAGCAAAGAACTCACCCAGAGGTTAGCAGGCCCCAGGACACTGGTTGATTGGCAGGGGAGGAAGATGCTCTTGAATGTGATGCTGCGCTGGTTCTCCCAGCTGTCCTCTGATCAGATCAAAGGGAGTTGGTCACAAGTTTTTTGATGTAGGAGGCTATGAAAAAAATGGGGAAACAAAACTACCCTTTAGAGAATCCTCGTAAGTAGTAGCAACACTGCTGAGGAGAGAGTCCTTCCCCATCTCAGGAGGCATGATATTGACAAGACGAAGCTCCATGGCGATACTAAGGTCCATCCAGGAGGCAGAGGTGATAACATTGTAAGGAAACCAAACAGGCCCAGTAAATTGCATCCTTCTCTCCCAACTACTTTCTGAACCAATTGAAAAAGAGGACACAAGAATCAGGCAGATGAAGAGCAAGTGATCACCTTTATTCCTGTTCAAGTTTATATTGAGGAAGGTAGGTTATTGGGAGGCAGGTGGGATTCCTAAGACAGAATTTCAGCACAAGACAGACTTACCTACACAGTCACAGGTAGCTCCAGACCAAAACCTATTGTTATAATTTAATTTCCCTTGATTATTCTTCTTAGAATCCTATAGTCTGGAGAAAGCAAGGACTATATCTTTTCATTTTTTTATTATGGAAATCACAGAACATTATATGTGTGTAATGAACCCCATGTAACCATCATCCAGCTTTGG